ATTTAAAAGTAGTTATTAGTTTACAAAACCATAGTGTTATTCTTTTAAATTGAGGTCAAAATACGAACTTTCAACACACTCCTTCACGCCAGTTTCGTGTTAACTGCGCAGACAAAAACAATAGAAAAGAGACTGGAATTAACTGACGTTTAAATCTAATCAGTGAACTCTATAAAATAGCTCCATGTTGGCTTCACTTTTTGAACTCGAGTTCTCACTCCAGATATATAGAGAGAGATCACTGGTCTCAGATAACAAAGTCTTCAGGCATGAGATGTTTAAGAAAACACTTACCGAAAATAAATCTATTCCAGTAAGGCCAGTAAGAATAGGAATGACTACATGGTGTCGTTAATCCCATGTAGTCATATATTCCATATTTTTTATAAAGTTGTGAATTATATGTGTATCTTGCACACCAGGTTTGAAATGAACTGTTATATTTTCCTTTATAATAAACAGATAATCCTCCCTCGGGAGTCTGGGTTATAGCACGATAGATGCTCTCGTTAGGCTTCTGAGCACAAGCAGCTGTGTCTAAACTCACTGAGTCAACGTAAAGATAAAACATATCAATATCATCACCATGCGAAACATTCTTATTAAAAGCAGCGAGACATCCCTGTCTTTTTAGATGTAACATGGCACCATTATCACGAAACCGAAACTGAGCAGCTGGATCCAGACAGCTGTTGTCGGAAAATGCCAGAAAAGACAAGTTTCCCCAACTGCCGCTCGACTGTATTTGACCTGTGTCGCTAATACAAGCTCCTGAGGTGTAGCCATAGACCCAGAACAATTTCACAAAGAAACAATCTGTACCTATAAACACAGAAGTAATATGTGATTATCTTTTACATGCATCACGTATGTGTGAATGTGTTTTCATTTATATAATACATTGCCTTGCCCAACTCTAATCATGTTTTCCGGGAATCGGACAATCGGCTATCCAAAACTTTCAGCTAGCTTATTCTCTAACAATTGTTTATTATGTATTTATGAAGTTACAAAAAAGTTTGCCATCCTTAATGCTCCTGTATATATGTATTTATGTAAAGTGAGAACAAATTGCTGGTTCATTCCTAAACGTATAGTCGTTGCTGTGACCAAAGTGCGTCATTTTCTACTTGAACATACAATACTGTACTGTTTATCTAATTTCATGGCCCGGTTGTATGAAGACCGTATATGCCCGTATACGTATTGTGATTTTTTTCAACCGTTGTAAAAACCATTAAAGTATGGATTTGGATTTCACAATTAATAAAGAGACTTCAATTTACACACACTACAATCTACAGCATAATCTATAGGTTCTATCAATCAACGGACAATTTCAAAAAGCTTGAAAAAATCACAATCCGCTGGATAGCGCTATCAGAGTGATTGAGCAAGACAACGAAGTACGAAGACGAAGGCATACTTGACAATTTTTGCCGTCTGTACATTATCTTGCGCATACTGTGTTGGACGTCAGTGGTGGTTGCTCAACGTGTCTTCCCATGTGTCACTGTTTATGAACACTGACCATAATTCTTGCCCTGATCCAGAAAAAAACAGCGAGACATGCAGTGGCGCCGTGGCCGGGGGGAGGGCCAGGGGGGCCATGAC